ACTCTTCTTAACGCTTCAATTCCCTCAGTTTTTTTTATTCTTTGAGTTGAGCATACGAGGCAGACCACGATGAGGGAAAGAAAGAGACAATGTTGAAATTGCAAAGTCGAAATGGCAAGGAAATCAGCTCAATTTCGCTGTTGAATGTCTATATCAGTAAATCAAGACATGGCAACAGCTTCAAGTGTCATCAGGCAGAATTAACCACATTATGAAGAATTTCCAGCATCTTTTACGAGAGGGATACACACATGTAACGATAACACGTGTTGCTCCTTGGCTCCCCGCAGGGAGTCTGCCTCATCTATACACTGGTCTAAAGATCGCTCTAAGTCACGTTGTTAACATGTGACAACTGGTGACGAACAAGTAATCAAGCTCTTGCAGATGGGATAGACAACACATCATTGGAATGCCTAGTGTAGTAAGAAGGTGAAGCAATGGTCAGGCGTATATGCATATACTGTGTGAAGATACGTATGTGACAAACATGTAAGATTATATAGATATGTAGAATATAGTAATAAGATATAGCTGGGTTACATATGTCCCTGATTTTAAAATGATGGTCGCCATCATAATCAGTCATCTAAATTCATGTAGCTAAAAACAAGAGAAAAGTACATAAGAAATAATGGTATAAAAGACGTAAGCAACGTAGAAAGCAGGACGCAGGTATTGCGCGTGCTGTAATGCCCATGTTGTCTATATGTATAAACACGCCCTCCTTTCGCACGCCCCTTTCACAGCACCCCAGGGACCCCTACGCTAAACTGCTGTCCCTTGCACCAGACCTACTACTGTTGCCAGGCATATAATGCACTATATACCTTTACACATGTACCCTATACAATTAGACCAGTCCACACGTACCATGCCTTCTGCCCAACACGTCACCGGATGTGACATTCCATAGGCCTTCCCCTTGCGTTTACACAAACACATTCTTTTCTCTTTCTCGTCTCGCTCCTTACATGGCGCGATTGCCTTACCAACTTCTCGATTAAAGCTTAAAGAGACAGACAGCCTCCGGCATACTGATCGGTGGAGACTTCTGTCCCTCAGCTGTACCATTCTCTCACCACAATAAAGTTCTGCTGCTGATCACGGAGTCTGCTTCCCTCGACGCAACATTGCTGCCTCGTGCCAGACGCGACTGTCTGCACACAACCGCCCATCGGCCTCGTTACACACACGCACATATACATATATGCATAATCGTTAATCGTCAGATTATCAACAGAAACTAATAATCTCAGTAAAGCCATTCTGGATTTATTTTCAAGTTTGTGGGATAAAGAATGCAGCAAAGGCATTGATATATATATATATATATATATATATATATATATATATATATATATATATATATATATATATATATATATATATATATAGTATATATATATATATATATATATATATATATATATATATATATATATATATATATATATATATATATCAAAGAGCAAGGATTATCTGCTATCGCATAGTTACATTTTAAAAAATGCCTTAACCTAGCAAAAGATTCACCCAACACGAATCTACCAATATCGCCCATTCTTAAACTCTCCCTCCTCAAAGTTTACTTCCTCGGCCAACGGGAATATCCCAGCTCGTCAACATCAGTGGTGGATATCTGCTATATAAGTCTAATGACACGTCAGATAAAAGCTGATTATAAAAGTTGTATGTGATAAATATGCGCGTGAGAAATTTGTGCAATTAATAATGATTTTCTTTGTTGTATAATTGGATCAGTCAATTTCCGAAATTGCCATGAGGATCTCTACTGTAGTATGTAATTTTGTTGTACTCTGATACGTAGCATCCTTAACTAATTCTAGTTGCGATTTACGAAAAAGCAGATATCCACCACTGATGTTGATAAGCTGGGTTATATATGGAGGGTACCTATGGATGTATATAAATGTGTGTATTTCTTTTCTATTTAGTTAGATTAATAAAAGATGATATTTCTTGGTATATTTTTAATATTTATTACCATCCATGTTAACGTAAATGTAAATGCATGTGTATATATGTATGTATATATATATATATATATATATATATATATATATATATATATATATATATATATATATATATATATATATATATATATATATGTGTGTATGTGTGTATGTGTGTGTGTGTGTGAACACATATGCATGTATATATCATGTATATAGATATCGATAACATATTTATAGGCTTATGATATGCAGTATGTAGATATATTTATATCCATACGCATACTTACATAACCGATTGTCATTCAGAATTACGATGACAATGAGAAAAATAACAAAAGACAACAACCAATGATCTAAACAACAACAACGATGATAATGAAAACCAACCATATTACTTCTATTATCAAATGTCTCCTTTATCGAAGCCATCAGACCCATTTCTGGCAGAGAGGAGCAGCTTTGTAAGAACAACCTACATCAAATGTGTAATACCGATCTGCCTGCCACAGAAGTGCGCAATTTACGCCTGGACCTTCGCTGGGCGATGCTTTGAACCTGCAAACGCGAGAGGGACAGGTAAGTATACGTATATATTTACATATATGTAATGCATTTATATGCAAATGTTTATATATACATATATACATATATAATGCATATGTATATATATGTGTGTGTGTCTGTGTATGGATGTGTGTCTCTGTGTGTGTGTCGATGTGTATCGGTTTTTGTATGAATTTGTATATATTGACGCACACATCCGTTCATATATATATATATATATATATATATATATATATATATATATATATATAATATATATATATATATATATATATATATATATGTGTGTGTGTGTGTGTGTGTGTGTGTGTGTGTGTGTGTGTGTGTGTGTGTGTGTGTACATGAGAAGTAGTTGGCTACTCTCTTTTAACCATATATCAATTATTTTACGTTGTATGAAAGTTCTTAAACGCTTCACGAATCAAAGCATATGTCGCAAAGTGTCTCCGCCAATAATTAGCCGTCAACATAATGAGTTTCGCCGGCCATTTTATCATCTTAACTCTTATTCTTTTACTTATTTTTACCTTTGATATCTTCAGTGATATTTCATATGACTTTACTTACGTATATTACTGATTTAGCTTTATTTTTATTTCATTTTTACGTCTTTATGGCCAGGCTTTCATTTTAACTTTGTGGACTACGGGTTTTATGAAGGAGCTGGCGAGGTATCGACGCTCGCTACCACCCACCTACCTCGCCGCCAATCCCCCCCCCCCCCCAAGGGAACTCTGCTTCGGCCTGTTTTACCCCGACGAGCTCGAAGCTCGCTGGTGTTGAGAATCTTTCACGGGGCCATGCTAATGAACTTAACACCAGATACGATTGCAACAATAACATATTAAAACGCGAGAAAAATATGATTGCAAAAATCGCATGAGTGTACATATCTTACATATATATATATACATATATATACATATCTGTGCGTATATATATATATATATATATATATATATATATATATATATATATATATATATATATATATATACATGTATACATACATATGTACATATAAATGTATTCAGGTATGTCTGTATATATAAACATATACATAGGCTCTATATTCAGTACACAGAGACTAGACTCATAAACATTTCCATTAATTGCTGATAAAGTCAGGCGAAGTATCTGCTTGCAGGATTGGAAACAGGTTGCTGTACCTGCGTTCGTACCCCGTAGCTCAGGATGAAAGCGTCACTCACCCGTCCCTTGACCCCCAGAAGGGCGCCCCCCGGGGCATCAGCTCCCCGGTGACCCAGACCCAAGTGTCCTCAACGGCCTCGTCTGACCCACCGATCCAGATATTCACATTTTTCGACTGCTTGTCTGAAAAAAAAAATATATATTTTTTATAAATCTCTAGGAACTACTTCTCTTTTTACGAAAACTAATGCATCTTAATAACTGCTAGCACTAAGGATCCTTTTTGTAAAGACTATTTCTTTTCGCCTAAATCAACTACCAATGTAAATAAGGATTAGGAGCAAGCAATTCTATAATTATAAGTGAAATTACAACACTTCAAAACTGCAGGACATACTGATGGTGTTGATGTAACGAGGATGGCTGCGTAGGTGTTGGCATCCGAGAAGTGAGCCAGGTCGGCCTCGTGCCCAGCGCAGAACTGCCTTGCTGACGCCCAAGTGTGCAGCTCGTTAAGCGCCAGCAGGAGACAGCTGCCTCCTACTTGCGTGAATGGAGACACACACACCACGCCTAAGGAGCATAGGAAAGTTAAGGGAAGACTATATTTTGGGGGATTTGTGGATGCTGTATTACTCTACGTATGTCAGACTATAAGGGTTTGATGCATCAAAGCTCCGTACACGAGAAGAAATACGTACTTCCGGGTTTGCGTTCTTCTGCCTTGCTGCTCAGGATCAGCAGTGAGTCACGAACCTGAACCAGAAGCTCCGTCGTGGCCTCCTGCGCCGTGGCCATTCTGTTCATCTGAGTCTCCTGCCGCAGCAGGAGAAGGTCCGTCAGGCTCTGCGAGAAATTTCATTGACGTGTGTATATATATGCACACAAAAAATCACACAAACACGCATGCAGATAAAGCTGCACAAGTGAAATAGATATAATGACAAATATCCTGCAGTTGTCCGTGACACTGACCTGCGTGCAGTTGGGGTGCAAAGGAGAGAGCAGCTGCTCCACCGTGTTCCCTTCAGAGGCCAGCGACCAGCGTCCCGCCGACGCCAACAAAGCCACCAGCAACACCAACTTCGCCATCTTGAAAATCAGAGGAAAATCCTACGATGGTTATGCCTTTTGCTTGATTTAAATGAATAAATAGATGAATAACCACGCTCGTGTACAAATAGTGTATATTCACATTTACACACAGACCTGGTACTTTTTATAAGAATTGAGGGAAACATTTTATGCTGTCCTATTCATTCTCGTTCTGCTCCTTTATCCGTTTATTTCGCTAAAATATAAGCTATACGTAAACAACCCTGCCTTTCCTTTCATTGGGTTTGACGTTATTTCATCGGCTTTACGTGTTTCACAAACAAAGCGATGAGGAACAGATACATCTCGTATTAAATTATTTTACACGTTATATATTCAACTGAAGAAAGCAAAAGAGGTTCCTTCTCGTCGTTCTTGTAGACTTCGAAGTAAACAAAGGATCTTCTGATACATATATTTTTTACTTTTTTTCTTTCAAAATAACGTAGGAAATCACAGTGGTTCATTATACCAAGCAGCTCTCTCTCTCTCTCTCTCTCTCTCTCTCTCTCTCTCTCTCTCTCTCTCTCTCTCTCTCTCTCTCTCTCATCTCTCTCTCTAAAACGACGAAGGCTTCTGTCTTTCATCTTTACAAAGCAAGGTAGTGGACAACGGCTTTTCTAGTACTAAAAGCTTTACAATTTTACAGGAGCAGTGTAGTACAAGATAAAGCTGCAGGGCCAAAAAGACTTTTACTGTACCTTATCAAATGCGCTCTATCGGAAATCTAAGTGTCTGAATATATATATATATATATATATATATATATATATATATATATATATATGTGTGTGTGTGTGTGTGTGTGTGTGTGTGTGTGTGTGTGTGTGTGTGTGTGTGTGTCTTTTCATTCTCCTAGACGATGAAAATTAGTGATAACAGCATTTATGATGATAATGATGATAACAGTTATGATAACATTGATAATGATAATAATAATAATGATAATAATGATGATGGTTGATGAAGATGATGATAATAATGATTATGAGGAGGAGCAGGATAATAATGATAATGATAATAATAATGATAATCATAATAATAATGATGATAATGGTAATGACGATAATGATTGTAATAAAACTAGTAATGCTACTGCTACTGCTACTAATAACAACAATGACAACCACAGCCACTGACAATAATAGTAATATTTATAATAATTACGATGGTGATGAAAATAATTACAATAATAAGGATGAAAATAATAATGCTAACAATAACAATAATGATAATGTTAATGATAATAACAATGATAATGATGGTAATGAAAATGATAATGATAATAATGATAATGAATATATTAAAATAACCAACTACAGCAATAACAATAATGTTCATTATCATAAAATCAATAATCCGAATAAAAGCAAAATAATACTACCAATACAAGCAA